GTCTGTCTGTCTGTCCGTCTGTCTCTCTGTCCGTCCGTCTCTCTGTCCGTCCGTCTATCTGTCCGTCTGTATGTTCGCCCATCTGCTCGTTTATCTGCATATCTACCTGTAGATCTGTCTGTCTGTCCCTCTACCTACCAACCTGTCCACCTGTCTACTCATCTGTCCTACCGTCCTTCTATTCAGCCTTCTTTTCAGACTTTCTGTTTTCCTTAAAGATTTTTCATCGTGTCTTCATATAATATTTGTTTTTTTTTTTTTTCTTCTTTTGTCTTTGTGGATTTTTATTCGTCCTCCTTCTTACTTCCCCAGTTTCTTTCTTAATGTAGTTTTTTTATGTACATGTCTGTGTTCATTTCTTTCTGATCATCTTTTCTCTATACTGTACATCTCTGTTCGTTTCGTCACTTCAACATTTCATCTTCATGGTGAAGTATGTAGGGTTATGCTCTTAAGGCCCGTTCCTACGAATCTCAAGGTTGCCTTGTTCTCTCCTCCGTCTCACTGGCTGCCCTGTATCTCGCCACCCTCCTTTGTCCCGAAAGGAATACCAATTGTGATGCGCGCTCTGTCCATTCTTTCCAAACGATTGTTGCAATTTCGCTGGCGTCCTGGTGCTTCTTCAAGTACGAGTATATTTGTAATCGAAATCTTTCTCTGATGTCAGAATTACTCTGGTGGTCTAATCTGTATTCCTACGTAGCAGTGGTACGGCACGAGAATGGAGATGCTTTCCTGGAAGGAATGCATTCTCAACCTCCGCAACTTCTTACTGAACGCTCTGATGACTATGCTTAGTTCCGGTTCATATAACGCGATGATAATTAATCCGACTAAAAGTAAGGCAGTTTGTTGGGCCGCGCCATAGCTCAAGCGGTTAGTCGCTGGCTTCCCACCGCGGCGGTCCAGGTTCGATCCTGTGTCTGGTCAAGTGGGATTTGTGGTGGACAAAGTGGAGCTGGTGCAGGTTTTCTCGGAGTACTTCATTTTCCCCTGCCAATCTTCATTCCAGCCATTACTCCATAATCACCCTCACCTATTATCTGGGGCTGGTACAATAGGCCAGAAGTGGCCGCAGTACAAGGGACTTAGTCCCACCCCACCAGCAATAAAAAAGGAATTTGTTTCACGAGAGCCCGAGTGACGGACCACTAAATTATTCATTAGGGGACACAGTAATTCCTGAAGCGAGCAGCTGTAAATATCTGGGAATAATTTTACGCAGCGATCTAAGTTGGCCTGATCAAGTTAATTACACGGTGAAAAAAGCTTGGAAGGTACTTCATATTACAATGCCTATTCTAACAAAGGGAAATAGCAAAACTAAAAGTCTAGCATACACATCTTTAGTGCGTCCGGTTGTGGAATATGGGGCGGCGTGCTGGGATCCTTACAGGGAGGGACAGATAAATGCGCTAGACCGAGTGCAAAACACAGCGGCTAAATTTGCACATCATAGAAATGATTCGAGCTCGGAAACCTTGACAGAGCCCAGAAAGATGGCTCGCAGAGGTGCTCTTCTCAAAGCATACGCGGGAGAACGGGCTTGGAAGGCTGTAGGTGGTAGATTACAAAGACGATGCTATTTGAGCAGGGTCGATCATGATAGGAAAATTAGGAACAGAAAGCAACGGACAGATATCGGGAAGTACTTCTTTGTAAATAGGACCATACAGATCTGGAACCAACTGCCTTCAGATGCTTTAGAGACTGTCTCCTTCAAACCAAGTAATTTTAGGAAAAGGGTTAGGAAAGTGATAAATGAGGCGAAGTGAAGGTAGGGTGGAAATCAGCAAAGAAAATGCTGTAGAGTGAAGTGAAGTGAAGTGAAGTGAAGTGAAGTGAAAAGTGTTAGGGATGGGAGGATTACGTAAGTGTAGTAAAGCGAAATGAAGGGAAAAGGAAAACACGACATTGCGCATTCATTGTTGTTAGTTTATTATACGTTATGTTAATTTTCTACTAATATTTATGTGCTGTGTTTGGTTTGAACGTGTTTATGTGTGTTATTTGTCTGTTGTCTTATTGTAGTACCACTGCCACCGGTTGTAAACCCATTTGCAGTTAAATAATAATAATAATATTAACTTTTCACCTTCATCTTCAGGGTCGAAGAATAAGTCAAACAAGACTCCAGCGTGAACTGAAGTTGGAGGCGACATTTTCCTCCGAAATGTCAGTTTAAATTCACCAGACTACACGGCGTTATATCCCAAAAGACAGAACTGTTTTTTTATGTGTTCATTGCCATTTTGAATATCTCTGACCTTGGTATTCACTTACTCCGGATAAAAATATTATCGCAAAAGTAATTACACTGCGGATATCGCGATAAAACAGCCTTATTATGGGTCCTGATAGCGTGTGTTTTATATCGTGTACAAATATTTTGACTGATCACAGTGGCTGTGCGGTCTAAGGCATTAACCGTCTTCGCATTCTCGAACACTGGGATTGTGGGTTCGAGTTCTACTTGAGGCATGGATGTCTGTGTGCGATTATTCTGTGTTTGTGTTGTGATGTGTTCAGGTAGTGGCCTTGAGACGGGCTGATCCCCTTCGAAGGTGTCCTACCAACAGTGTCAAACATCAGGAAATTGAAAAAGAGGCCGAAGTCTAACAGAAGGCTGTAAAATTAACGTCCATATCTTTATCGTCCGTCAATATTGCAACACTTGTTTATTCACTACTTAATTTTGAATTTAGTTTAACATTTTACACTCTGACACTACATGTTTCGGCCCCAAACGGCCATCTTCAGGTGTCTTGATATGTTACAAATATTTATTAAGTAATGTTAGAACTGCTTCACTGTGTTAGTCCGTGTTAAAATCACACGCTGTAGTTCTCTTTTTGAGGTAAAACAAGATAAAATCCATTAAAATTTCTATTTGTAACATATCAAAACACCTGAAGACGGCCGTTTGGGGCCGAAACATGTAGTGTCAGAGTGTAAAATGTTAAACTAAATTCAAAATTAAGTAGTGAATAAACAAGTGTTGCAATATTGATGGGTGATAAATACATGGACGTTGAGTTACACAGTTGCAACAGGATGCTGAAATACCTGTACATAATTATAAAAGCCCCCTCGTTGGGGGTTTGAGTATTCCAAGGACCCTGAGAGCTATACCAGCGGTAGCGTAGCTACTGGCAGAGCCTCCCTTGCTGGAGAGGTCAAAGGGTAGGCATCAGACGAAGAGAGACACCAAAAACCAAAAACTGATGCCGGAAGCAGCTTCATCAGCAGCGACTTGAAGCACAGAGCAAACGGTGCTCGAGACGGTTCAAGTTCGTATAGCAACAGGCGTGACCAGAGTGGTTTGAACGGCTGTTGTACTGCGATGTGGAAAGCAAATGGAAAAACTACCACATTATCACTTTTCCTGGATAGTCTCTTTCCAAAAACAGAGGTACCATGTATGCGAGATTAAACTGGAAGGGCGGATGGAAGTGACTAGAAGACGAGGAAGAAGACGTAAGAAGATGCTGGATGACCTTGGGGACAGAAGAGTATATTTTCATTTGAAGGAGAAAGCTCCAGATCGCATTAAGTGGAGGAACTGTTTTGGAAGAGACTGTGGACCTGTCGTCTGACAGATTACTGATGAATGAATTATAAAAGGCTGTAAGGCTATAGATAGACGGAGAGGTAGATACACGTAGACACAGTACTTAATTTGCAAAGGTGACTGAAGATCCATTTAAGGCGTAGAACAGGCCTATTTTAGCTACGGGTTCTACTGAACCGAAATAAGGAAAATTGGAATGGATTGTAGCTTTCATTTCTGGTACCCAATACTAAGTATTAAAAAATGTTTGGAATAATTTCGAAGATGGAATCATGTGGTCGAAGAACTGAGGAACATCTCCACTGTACCTTAGATCTGTGCTTTTTGTGCACGAAATTCGTAAGGGTCAAATTGGCAAAATTCTTGAGAGGGCGACCGTCGCCAGCAGTTGACAAAATTCTCAAAAAATTTTAATCTGAACTATAATATGAATATTCATTAAATTCAGTCAAATTAATATCTCTGCCCCTTAACTATAGGTTTCTGGGGTAGCATCAAAGCTTCTTCTGCTGGTATATTTCGCAGACGTTTAGATAAAACTTTCCCACAAAACCAACCATAAATTGCTACAGTCTTATAGAACACCAAGGAATATTACAATAATCACGAGACCTCTCTGTTGGGCCATATTCTGAGCAAATTTTATTTTAGTCTTTAGTTTGAAAACAGATTCATTTAATCGAATTTACTCTTTTCACGTATTCGGGGTTTGCGTGACGAATAACAATGGGTTCTAGATTTGATGACTGGGTTTATTGGCGCTACTTCACAATTACAGTCAATTATATCGTCTTACATATGTTACTCCTTCTCAACGATGTCTATCTGACGAGTCCCTCTGAAGAATCTCATACTAATTTCTCGCTGTTTTCAAAGCGCGAATCAACTCCCTTTCATAACGGCCACGCGGCCCTCATATGTCACCATGTCCAACAGTTTATTGCCCTCTGTTATTCTGTGTTATCCGTTGCTACGAATCGTCTCATGTTTAGCAACTGGCTACCTGGCAACGACTCGTTCGTTGCTGTTTATTGTAAAGGGAACGTGATTTCCGATCCGTTGCTCAGCAGTGGACGTCTGCTCCTACTCCACCATTCCGTCTTTCTGCCCGTCATGTCACAATGTTATCATTCTATGTTTTGTAATTTTTTCACTTTATGTTTCCCCAATAGACTCCATTCCTCATGCACTTCATGCTACATGCTCCATCCGCTTTGATTTCATCCGTCAATAGTACTTTGTAAAGAGTACATGTCATGATGCTCTTCGTTTTGTAATGCTCCAACTTACGTCTCAATATCTGCTTCAACATCCTTTCCATAAACACACTCAAACGACGTTGCTTCCTTCACACGAGAGACCTAGCCTTGCTCTTGTATATACAAGCAGATAAAATTACAGTTTTAATAATCTTCTGGGACTTTTGTAGGAGATGTGATAGTGAAGTATTCTGCACAGAGTGGGAGCAGACAACCTTCTGAGTGTGCTTTTAACTTAAAAGAAAACGAGTGAGATATCAACACACAGAATGGAGGAAGCCCTCATCATGTCACGCCCTTCAGGATAAGTATCGCTGCTACAGACATGAACAGAGAAGGCGTGTCAGCAAGTTCAACACAGAAAGAGGTTACACCGGCGACTGAAGGTCAGGTTGCTGTATGGACCTGATCCAGAACTCTCTCGGTGATACAAGTGAATTGGATTGGTGTATTGGTGTATCGGTAGTCTGCTTGTATCGGTTCTCACGGTCTCTTCGCTTGTGGATTTATTATTTTTCCTTCTACCCTGAAGATGGAGTCTTTACGTTCCTCCGAAACGTCGGTTAACACCACATCTACATGGTGCCACATCCCAGAAAACTTCTTTCTTCTCCTCAATTTATGTTGTTTTCGTAGGGTGAGACTTCAAAATTTATATAGATATATAACTGAATATTTATATAAGCAAATGAAGCATACATTTACTTCCCTTCTCTCTTGGTTCCAATATCTTGATTACATTTCGAGGCATCATTAAAGCAGATTAAATTGTTATATAGCTTTACCACAGTTAAGCTGTTAACGCATTGAGATACTCTGAATATAAAACCACAAAATGAACTATAATTTATTACCGTCATTTTCTGATTATACGTCATGTTGACCCCAGCACGTAACCTAAACTTGTTTACACGAGTTTGAAGCAGATATAAGCATTCAGGGAATACACTTTTGATCTCCAGGAAATTCCTGAATTGATTTATTTTCTGCAATTTCTACTATTCATTTCGTTTGCCTAGGAGTTGCTGAGTTTCTCTGCTCCAAGTGGAATCGCCTGTGGCTTGGTGCAGAACTGGCCACCTGTCACTTCTCACACCCTCGAACCCACCCCCTTGTCTGAAATTTTCCTTCTGCGCATTCAAGGTTACTCTTGGCCTTGTTCGAAGTTACGTGACACTTGCTTTAACAGGCCGTGGAGGCCCATGGGGTTGTGAGACGTCGAAGTTCCCACATTATCTAGACAATCGACTCACAGATGGCGGTGAGGTTGTCAGTCTTACGTGCCGGCCGCCCTTTACCCCCAGGAATATTCCTGGTACTCATTTCTGTTAGAGGCTGAGTCGACCCCAGGGCCATAATGCGGCTGGAAGGATTAGGTAAATTGAAAAAATCCACTTCATCGGGATTCGATCCCGCGACCTTCCGGCTTGTAGCATAGTGCCTCAACCAAGTACCTTGCCGCCTGCCTCATAAATTTATGCATCTGTGTAAATTACACTGCTACTTAGTAGCACGCCTTTTGTGAAGTGCACAGAGATATTTATGTCTCTCCTCTCCTGTACAACGAAGTGGAATTAAAACTGCAAGAAAACGATTATGGTTGGTGCCACGACACGTCGAATGCAAGTTTAAGATTCTTGTCGTCCAGTTTAGGTACAACTTATTTTATGACTTTCCGGAATATAAAATAGTCGTTTCGGAAGCAAGTTGTGTTGGAATTGTGTTTGAAGTTATTGCTTGTATGAGGGACCTGATTATCGTTGTATATTACTTTGCTATTGCTGCGTTCATGTTTGACGTCATGGCTCAGTCATGCGTGTTTGATGCATGTTCCCGCAACATCCGCTAAAGGTTTAGTTCACGGGACAATAATGATATCGAGAGACAAGGCCCATGTAACACTATCCCTGTACGTCAATATGCATAGCTGTGTTCCTTTCAAAACCCAGACACATAGGGGACTGGTGAAACACCGATGAACTATGTCAGTGTACTCGTATCTTACGTCACAGTTTGTTTTCGGGGGGAGGGGGCTCTCATATACATTCTTAATTAAAATATTGTCACGTGTACGGGGGTACGAGTGACGAATTGACAGGTTCTAGTTCACATGATTGGATTTATTAGCAGCTTGGTTTCACAATCTTTTAATTACACTCAAATACAGCGCTATCGCTGATTTACACACACTTCATAATACACTGTTGCACGCACACACTAGTCTTCTCCTGGTAAAGCAATTAAAACACAGGAACTAGCACTTCAGATCACTACAAACACTGCACACAATAAAGCTCTTCAGATCACAATTTAAATCTTCAGAGGTCTTCTACGAACTTCCCGTTGCTGTCACTCTCACTGTTATTTAAACACACTCAAACACTCTCAGATACTCCCCTCTGTTCTGTCTCTAACTGTCGTTATATAACCTCCGCACTGACCACGCAGAAAACAGCCTATATTGTTCTAACGTGTCGCAGTTCAAGTCACATTGCGACTGACGGTCAGTCAGTCAGTCAGTCTTTGGTGTCCAACCCCATCTGGGGCTCATGACCAGATATTTATTACTGTTTGACAGTTACGGCCTTGTTTCTGTGGTGCGCCATCTCTGACTAGAGGACGAGTCAATCTTTTATATATGCTGCTGGACCTTGCCAGTGCATTCTTTCTCGGGTTCGAGTCCCTTGGGACTCGCGACCATATTTTACTGTCTCAGATTTGAGACTTCCCTTTTCGTCGCCTCCTACCTGTCCAACTAATGTGTTTACCGAGCGATTGCATAACAAAGGTCATTGCTCCGACTGCATAGAAAACTCCGCACGCTCATTCCTTCCTTGCGTGTATTGGGTCTCGAGCTGTTTAACGGTCAGTTGCCTAGCAACGCTACGTCCGTCCACGTTACAATATCTGGTTTACATGTCCTACCGATTCTGTCGTTTATGTCAGAAGGGTAAGATACGAGGTAGATTTCTGACCTTTGTGTGGCGCCCACCGTTGCAACAAATGAGATTCAGAGTGCGAAGGCAAGTCCTAAAACCGTTACATGTAGCGTGGGATAAATACCGCGATGTATTATATCGAAACAGTGATTACATAAAGCGTGGGAAAAATGGCACCACACTTCTCATGTATCCTAGTCATGGTTTTTTATTTTCCTTGGCACTACAGCCCCAGTGGGCCTAGGCCTACCTCCATGAACTTCTCCGTTCACTTCGGCTTTTCTAGATCTTAGACATTCGGTAGGACTCCTTGGGCGGGTGATCAGCTCGTCGCAAGGCCTCTACCTGTACACAAACACAGAAAAACCCACACACACAAACTAAACATCCATGCCCTGAGTGGGATTCGAACCCACGATCCCGGTTTCCGAGCGAGCGAAGACAGTACATGCCTTAGACCGCTCGGCTACCGTGACCGGCGAGTCATGGCGTTACACTCGTTATATCCAGTGAGGAAGAAGGCTGCTAAATTTTTACAACAGCTGGTTATGGCAGCGTGACCATACTGTCCATTGCAGGGGAAGTGTCACTATGTATGACTTTTCGGCGGAACCGAGTCATGGTTCTATAACAGTCACATCCAGTAAACGGAAACTGTCACGACAGTTAAATTAGTCTGCTTTTAGTTCGATTTATATGTTAGATTGATTTCGATATTCTACATTAGATAGCCCTATGAATAAACTTTAAAACCAATATTACTCACAGAATTGCAATTACAGTGGTAAGGTCAAGGTAAAGTTGTCCCTGTGCTTAACTAATTAAGCATAACGCCATGAAGCGTATAGGGAAGGTGGATGTATGGAGCCATATTTTCTTGACCTCTGCATTAGCTGGAGGTGAGTGGTCAACTTCACGTCCCGGCCGCTTAACCCCCACGTAAACATTGTATGGGAGGGTGGGTGGACCACAGAGTCTGTCTGGATTGATTTGGAGGACAGAAAATTCTTGACCCTACCTGGACTTGAACCCCGACCCCTCAGTCTTCCAGCCTGTAGCCAGTCACTATACCGACTACGCTGCCCCGGCTCTTGCAATTATAATGGAACCTCGGTAATCCAAATCCACGTTAATCCCAGCTGACTGAGTGTACCACAAAAATAAAACCTGCATATCAAAAACTATAAATTTCATATCATAGTTTTACTGCCTTGCAGTAAAAATTAGTTCTCGTGAAACACAGTATTATGTGTTAATGGCCCTGTCTGTCTGGGTGGTGACAGATGTAACCTGGTTATATGATTGTGACTATATTTTAAAGAGTATAATACTTTACACACTTTATGTTGTTCACGTAGGAAATGTGCCTAAAAATTTTTGAATAAGTAGTTTTACTAAAAAAAATAAGAATATTAAACCAGTATTCCGAACGATTCATTAATTCGAACATACCAGTGATTTAATTAGTTCGGATTATCAGGTTACACTGTATTTTTACATTTTGTGCACTTTACAAATTACCTGTACATTTCGATGTTGTGTGAATTGTAATTTTTAAAGTGGAAATCAAAGGAGTAACAAGTTCATATAGGGAAAAATATATTTTTAAGCTTTTAAAACGTTTTGTCCATAGAGAAAGCTTTGGAGAGAGAAAGTTTATTCATTGGAAGGCTGTGTTATAGTCAGCGAAACAATGTACCATGAAGAATATACTGCTATAATGACATTAGAAATTTACTGCCTGTGACAACACCAGATAAAAATGATTCTGCTTCGCCTGAAGGCATTAAAACAGGAAAAGAAACTGCCCTCTTTTGCAAGGGTAATAGCTTTTTTAATTAACTGAAACTCGGAATTGACTCTTCTATCACAATTCGATTGGCATTAACAAAACGCTGTATCTCTTATGTTGTATTGATTCATAGTACGTCGTAAATGAAGTTACCATTCATGCTGCATGAGCCACCTTACCTACGCTGAACTATTGCAGCTACTTCCACGTGTTTTGATTGTTGAACAGTCGCCAACAGGTACGTGTGCCAATTGCCGCTTATATAAATCGCTTAATATAAGAGAATATTCTGAAAGTGTTTTCATTAATCAGATCGTTCGATTAGCCGAACGATTGTCAGCTTCTAAAACTGAGTTATTTAGCTTGTTGTTATTCTGATCAGAAGTTTTATACTTCAATTTGATTTTTTAAACGGTGGAGGTCAGTAATTATAAAACAAAATTTTATCAGTTACTTCGCATTTTTGTGAAAGTGGCCTCTCAGTGTGTGTAAAGAACGTAAGTTAATTGCTCACAAAATTGTTCGGATTTAAATATAATGAGATAAGAGGCACTGAGGATGTCACATGACGAAGAACTGCGTGACTTTATAGGTTAGAAACCAAGCGGTTTGGGGTGGCCAAAACACTGTAGTTTATTGCACTGGAGATGTTCATTTCCGCCTCTGCCGATACACTGGCTATTCTGACTTGAGATTTCTAATTCGCTCACAAAAGAGCAAACGTATACAAGCATGCGCGCACACACGCACA